CTAGATCAGTGGTTCTCAACCTTGGCTGCACATTAGAATCACCTGGGAGTCTTTTTAAAATCCTGATTTCTGGGCCTCATCCTCCGGAAATTCTGTTTCTTTGTTATGGGGTGGGGCCACAACATTAGTAACAAAGAAACAGAATTTCCGGAGGATGAGGCCCAGAAATCAGGATTTTAAAAAGATTCCCAGGTGATTCTAATGTGCAGCCAAGGTTGAGAACCACTGCTCTAGATCATTCATTCTGCCTGCTGTATAGTATTTCATTATATAACTATATCATGATCTATTTAAAGGATGCATAGATTTTGAGAGGCAGCTGAGAGGAAGGCTAGCAAAGAGTATGGCAACTTCAGTTCCACTGAAAAAGAGGAAAAGTGCTGGAAGAATCTGGGATTAAGAGCCTTGGCAAATGGCTAAATTCCTCTTTGAAAGGAAGAAGAGGACGAATGCAAATCCAGCTACCCCAGGGGCCAGAACAGAGATGGAATCTGCGGCCTTGAAGTTGGTAATGGGCTGGAAAAGTCTCTGGAAAATTGATCTGGGATCACTTGATTATTTACTAACATCTCATCCAGAAAGTTAATTCCCTTGACTTCTCTGGTCTGTTGCCCTTTGCACCATAAAAAAAAAAAAAAAGTTCAGAGTCATTGCCTTTGCAACCTTTTAAGTCATATATGAATCAGTGCAGACTTCAGATAGTTCTTAAGAAAATGATAATAAATTATAAACTAGTGAGGATCTAAATTTCTTTTTTCTTAAACAGAATATGGTTTGCTTTTTTTAAACTAGAGGCCTGGTGCACAAAATTCGTGCATTGGCCTGCACTCTCTTACAGTCTGGGACCCGTCGGGGGATGTCCGCCTGCCGGCAGTCAGACATCCCTCTCACAGTCCGGGGCTCCTGCAGTCCGGGACCCCTTGCTTCTTACTGCCTGCCTGCAGCGGAGTCAGGAGAGGCTCCCGCCACTGCCACTGCACTCGCCAGCTGTGAGTCTGGCTTCTGGCTGAGCGGTGCTCCCCCCTTCCGCCCCTGTGGGAGCGCACTGACCACCAGGGGGCAGCTCCTGCATTGAGCGTCTGCCCCCTGGTGGTCAGTGTGCATCATAGCGACTGGTCATTCTGCCGTTTGGTCTATTTGCAATTAGGCTTTTATTATATAGGATTTGTAATTTTAAAAGCCTATTTTCTGTCTTTTATTTATAAAAACTTAATATATATCTAAATATTATATTCCTATGATTCTAGACATAAAATTATCTTTAAGCTTACTTAAAATAATGTTTTTAATCTGATGCATTCATGTGTCTTAATGATGTAAATGCATTTTTTAAATATTATCTTTCAAAACATACAAATCAGAAGCAGCAGATACAACAAAAGCCCCTTGGAAGAGCGCAGGCTGTCTGAAGGTGCACACCCCGACAGGTTCAGTCCCATCTCTGTGTAATCAGAGGCAATGAGGAATACAGCACACCATGCCACTGCTCCCTGTTCCCATAGAAAGAAGATTCCACAGCACACTGGGATCAAATCCCTATTCTTTCTGAGAGAAGGTGCTAAGAGATCTGAAAGCATTTATGCAGTAAATAAACTGAGAAAGTGGTAGCAGGTTTAATAATCAGGTACCATTATGTTGGCAAGCATCAATACCTAATAAAGACACACTTGTGCCCTTCTTCATTTGATTTGTATTTAAACCACTGTAGCATTTATTTTTAAAAGTATTTTCTTTTCTCAAAGTCATAAAAGAACCTTGCATGAGAAGAGTAATTACTGGCATCTGTCTGGTGGTCACGGAAAATGCTGAGTGACGGTAAGTCCCAGAACATCTATATCATACATCATTAATTCTTTGGGGGATATTTGGATTTAATTGAAAATTCAAAATAACATGCTTATTTTTGGTTTGCTTCACTTAGAAGTATTAATTTCTCCAATAATAAAAAGTGTATATTTCTGTTGAGATATGTACTGTGCTTTATTCCCCTATTCTGACTGATCACTGACTTTTATTAGGAAGGGGATTTTAAATGGCTTAAGTGTAATTCTAACTTTCTTTTATTGAGTAGTCAGAGCATAGACTCCAAACAAATCTAGGCCATCATTTTTAATTTTTTATTAAAGATTCATACTCTAAAGTAGAGAAATTTAATATTTTCTTTATATTCCCCCCATCAACTCATGTTAACATTAACAGAATTGAGACTTGCACAAATATTAACAGAGATTTGGCCCTTAAACAGATATGGGGAATGTAATTTGCTAATTAACATTACTTTAATAGTTTGTAGAAAACATACTAATTCAGAAACAGAAAAAAAAAAGTGTGAGCTATTAAAGGCTAAAAGGAAGATGTATGCAAAGAAAAGGTTGAAAACCACTATGAAGAAATCAGGTCAAGAGTTATAAATCTGCTATTTAAATACAAAAGCCTTACAAGGATCAGTTCATTAAGACCTAGATCTAACAGTAGAGAGCTCAGTTCATTCAAAGTCTTCCTTAATTCAAATATAAACTGCATTATTTACTCTGCATGAAATCCATAGTATAAAGAACAATCAGAGATTTCCAGATCATAATTCTTGATTCAGACCAATTTATACTATCTGCAGACCAAATAATGTTTTTGCTTGTTTACATAGAATTTTAAAATTTAAATTAAGATTCTTCTAGGAATAAATATGCATTTTGGTTTACAATGCCAGTAAGGAAAAGAAAAACAACCTGAAAACTTTCAAGTTACCTTGAAATCACTAATATTGAACATTTATAAAGAAACGCACTTTTTGGTTTTCCTAATTTGGTTGATTATCATTCATTTTCCATTTGCCACTGCAAATCTAACAAGTCAGAGAATAATCACTTTACAAACTGTACCTCCCCCCCACCCCCCAACACCCCCCAAAAAAGGAACAGAATCGTGCTACTTACAAACTTCCTCTCCTGGGAAGACTTAGCTCCTTCTGAAACAGAAAAAAAACACAAAGATATATATGAGAAGCTACATTTCCTCAGACCACTGGTACAAGAAGTGGATAACAAGAAATGCATTGTCCTTCCTTATGCGTAATTTGGCATTTGCTATACATAACAAATTTTAATGTCATAATTTTATGCTGGATCCCTCCTTATATTGTTCTTTTTATCTATTGTGTTCAAGATACAAACACTGTTTACCTAAATTCCAGAGCAAGAGACACCACTCCTCACAAAGCAATGACAGTAAAATACTGAGTTGAGTTACCTGGCCCTATAATTGAGCATAAGACAAATCTGATGAACCAAAGGCCTTATCCAAAGAAGAAACAGACATAAGGAGGAAAAGTCTTGCGGGATTATCTATAATAATAAAAGTGTAATATGCAAATCAACTGAACAGCCGAACAGTGGAACGACTGTTTGGACGACATTCCAGATGAAGCCCGAAGACGGGGCTGTGAGGGCCGGCCGAGGCAGCCGGGGCTGCAAAGGTCTACTCTTGTGAAATGAAAAGAACAGTTAAGTCAGACAATGTGTCCCCAACAGAAACAGACTCATGCCAAAACATTGTGCATACCCACACTTTATTTTTAAAAATAAATCAAAAGACTTCTTTCTGGTGTTATTTTTTAAATAAATGTGAATTATGACTTAGGATATTTGAAGTAGGTTAATGAACCTCTAAAAAGGTAACTAGACATCAACACCAATTAATAGAGCACTTTCTAGCATTAAAAGGGTGCTCTCACACTTATCTCTAATTAAGACCATTATGAACCTAACTACAGAGGGGCTGTGGGAAAACAACAAGAAGCAAACAAATAAACACAAAGGGACACAAGTACCTCCACCCATTAATGAAGTTTTCAAATCCAGGGTACTCAAGAATGATTACCTGATGACAATAATTAAAGAATAGGAAGCAATGAGTTACTGGGCTATTTAAATTCAAAAAGGACACACTATAAACTCTAAAGACTCGGCTAATATGGTTTTCCATTCCCATAACTATAATTTATGTTTTTGCCTTGCAGGAGCTCAAGCATTATCTTTTGAAAAGTGTTTTCCCCTCAGCTTCAAACTCACCTTTCCTGTTCCCTGTTTTTATGGGCTCCTTCAATGCCTACCCGGACAGTGGCCTGAGATCTCACTTCCAGATAATGCAGTTCGCTCCACAGAACATGGCCTGAGCGTCGCAGGCTGAAGGGGAGGATAACTGCTTTAGATATGATGCCGGACTGATTAAGTGGCAAATGCATTTTGATACCGGGTTATAATAATCACATCACTGTTTAATTGCAAGAAGAAACAATCAACAATTTTAGGAACAGAGTATCTTTTTCCTTCTTCCAATAGCAAACTTTCTTTCAAGGTCTGTAGGGGTCAGTGGTGAAATGCTTTTTTTGCTGTTTTGTTTTGCTTTATTGCTTAAGCCTTGATTAGCTCCATGAAATTATAGTGTTTGCTGAACTTGGCTCCCTGATTCTGAAACGTAAATATACCTTCACTGACTAAAGCCTCTGACTATGACAGTTTTCCTTCAGAACTGCAATGGAAATGCAAAACCAATGAGTAACTTTCTATTTGTGCATTTTGGCTCTGACAAGCCCTGAGAAGTTAGTTTTGTATTCAGATTTTAAAAAGAAATGAGAGACCTTCCTAGAAGTACTTGTTCACCGGACTGTTCCTTGTAGAAAAGACTTAGAGACCCACTGCACAGCAAGACGCCAAGGGGTCCAATAAAGAAACACTACTCTGTGCAGTAAGTTGACTCTTACTGGATTCAGCAGATTAAAGAAAAGGAAGGGTACCTGAGATGTTAGCATTAATAACAGAAAGAAAATGTCAGACGTCACTTTAACTTTATATGCAAATAGATCACTATAAAAGGGAAAAGGCATAATGAGTGATCCCAAAGAGTTGGATCAATCATATTTCACCAAATGACTCCACCATCCACTGGCTGCTCTGCTCTGGGGGGAAAAAAAACACACGCTGAAACAGCAAGATAAGGGATAAACACCAGCTCTGTTTTTAATCAGTCTTTCGAGTTCGTCTAGAATTATGAGTTCTAAACAAGAAGAAAGGTTACGGTGTGCAGCCCAGCACTGCGGCTCCGCAGGACAGCAGCCCGGGCTCAGAGATGAGGGGCAAGGACATTCAATAGGCCACTGTCAGCTGACCTGACGCTTCCAAGCTAACGGAGCCGGAGGAGCTAATCCACCTGACGGCTTGAATGTCAGGCTCGGGACTGGAAACTCAATTTGGTAGCAAATTGGAATCAGATGTGATGGTAATAAAGTGAGAGAAATGACTGTGCTGTGGCCAAGACCTTGTGAACAGGAGCTGCAAATACCAGGCAGGCGAAGCAATTGCAGGCAGAGCAAGGAGTGCGGCTGCCCCGATACGTGGGGGCCACATGCTGATAACGTCTGTACCACTCAATCTAAGTGAGCAGCGTCAAGGCATTTACTGCCCAGGTCCCTGTGGTACTCGGTGTGTGTGTGTCCTTGTTTTACTTTCCTAATGTCATGATAAGGCCACTAACAAATACCTAGTTAGATCAGACATGTGGTATTGGTCACAGTCATAAACCAAAGTTTGTGCATATATATTTGAAATATGTGTTAAAAATTTAGCATCAGGTAAACATTAGAGGCACTGGGTTGATAAAGGACTATCCTCGCTATAAAATACTAGTATAGTGTGGAAAGGCCTGGAACAGAAGTCTTTTAAAAGTACGCAGTAGTACGAAGGGCGGAGGGTTCAGGACTGTTTCTCGCCTAGTGATGGTCCCTATTATTCAAGATGACAAAATCTGGCGGAACTGACATTATGCTCAACCTCAAGAGTAAGCGCAGGTTAAATTAAGCTAATGGCAACACTCATGGCTTGGACAAAGCAACTGGTTCAAAGATGGTCGGAGATTCAGTCTGGGAAAACAAGATGCAAAACAATGTTTGCTGGGGATTCCTGGGAAAGAACTCCCTTTCCTTTTCCAAGAGAACTAGCAGGAAAGAAGGGGCATCATTCACCCTAGGAATCTAATGGCCACTACTTGATAGACGTGAAAGGTGGCATAAAAGAAACAGACAGAAACTGGGTGTTGGGTGCTATCTTTGAGACAATGGTTCTAGCCTTGCCAATTAATTACCTGGATTTCTCAGTTACACCAGCCAATCAAGTCCCTTTATTGTTTAAAGCAGTTTAACTTGTGTTTTCTGTTCCTTGGGATTCAAATATTCCCAAGTGACACAATACTTGAGCCTCGGCTTTATTAAGTGTCGTCTGGGAGTTGGCTAGGCAGCCTCAGGTGTGGGCGAGGAGAGGGGCATCCCAGAAGTGGGCACAGATGTGGCAAGGTCGGGTGGAGTGAAACCGTACACAGCTCTTGGGAAGATTGGAATGGCTGGGACAGGAGGAGAAAGTAACCACCACTAGGACATGAGTATGGATGCAGGGACAGGGCCAAGTCATAGAAGGTTTTTGGAAGGTTCTGCCTTTGTCCTATGGACAAGGGGAACTCATGGGACACTTTAAACAGGAGAAAACATGGCCGAATCAGCACGTTCAAGGGGATCACTCTGGCATCAGGGTGCCAAAGGGCTCACTGGGAACAAATGGGACAGGAATTAGGGGCTTATTCCACTGTCCAGGATTCAGGACCAAGTGCCAAGACCAAAGAAAGAGGCAGCGGGGAGGGTGGCGAGGGGCAAATTCAAGAGACAAACGTGTGCACAGAACCTGCAGGAGAAGAGCAGGAATGCTTAACTTCTGGAGCTAAAGACAAGGTGCGCCATGCAGAGATTAGGGAAAAGTGGACATCCTAGCGCACTGGGGGCCTTCCAGAAGTTAAATAATGGAAATCTGAATGTAAATGAGGGGATGGCAGAAACCACTCAAGTTAGCTCAGTGATGGACAGGAACATGAGAGCAAGTTGCAAAATTAAGATAAAAGCAAAGGTTGCCATTCCAGGTCTTTCTTGCATGGAAGTTAAACACCAACCCCCTTTCCCACTTTAAGTTTTTGCACAAATGGTGGAAACTGTTTTTCTTTACTAAATGCATCTGCCTTCGTGTGCTGAACAGCAGCGCCTAACATTTCCTGCGGAGTAACATACATTATCTTTTTGAATCTTCACTATTATCTCCACTTTAGGGAACTGAGGCGGAGGCAGGTTAAGCAGCTTACACAAGGTCACGGAGCTGGGTAAATGGCTTAGCTTGTCCTTGAATCCATATCAGCCTTAGTGCTGGGCAGTTTAATTACTTTTCATCACCAAGTAAGACCTGGTGTATTTGTACTGTGGACTCCCCTCATGAAGGGCACCAAGCTGCATTCATAGTTGATAACACACTGGCTGGCAATCACGCTCAGGAGGGAGGGATACAAAAGATCTTTGCAGCTCTTTCTAAGCAAATTTCACACTTAAATTATTTTTATAGATTCTGATTTTACTTGGAGCAAAGCCTTGCAAATACATTACTTTTAACACAGGCCTTTTAAAGGAGAAAAGCGTAACAAGTCAAATAATCAGCTAACCCCAAAGTAAATGAGCAAACGAAACAAGCTTCCTTTCCAGTCAATTACTGTGGTTTTTGATGCTTCCTAACATGTTATACCCTGGACGTCAATAAATTAAGCTTGGGAATGAGATATTTATATACCTACTGCCTTCCAACTCAGTATTCTATAGGGGATATCTGCCTCCTAAGTCAAAAGTTTCCATGTTTCCCTGCAGAGTTTGCCAAATAACAACTAGAACATCTATAATAATAAAAACACAATATGCAAATCAACCGAACAGCGGAACGACCATCCGGAAGACCTTCCAGACGAAGCCGGGGCTGCGAAGGCCTACTCTTGCATGAATTTCGTGCATCAGGCCTCTAGTATATTAACAACATCCCCAGTTTATTGAGTGCCTCTTACATAATAAGAGAAATGCACTTATTTCCTCCAAGTTGTTAGCTTCTACCTCAC